TGCTTTCTCTTGATTGAGAAAGGAACCAAAGATCAAAAGGCAGTGAAGAACTGGGGACTCTGAGAAGGGTGACTTTCCAAACCTTGGACCCCTTAGCAGCTTCGCGGCCTGGGGCACTTGACCCCTGTGTGATAAGCCGAATCCTCTGTCTTAGGTGGTGACATGGTGGCTGGCTCGTGGGCTGCTTTGTCATCCCTTGTCCCAGCACCTGCAGCAGCGTGGCAAACACTTGGCCAACATGCGCTGAAGGACTGGACGACAGAGTCCCACGACTGGCTGTTTCAATACTGACCCCCTGAGGGCACTGAGAAGGCTCTGAAGTCGTCTCCAAGAGCAGTTCCACATGTGCTAGGAGCTGCAGTCACATGGGACTGGGCCCGGGCGTGCCATCCTGTGGGTTCAGGGGGAACCAGTGCTGCAGTCTGCTAAGCGACCAGCAGCAGTGCTCGGGCCAAGGCCCTGCACTCTGCTGCCGGCCGCCCTTGGGTGGGTGAGGCCACAGAGGTCTGGACTGGAGGTTGTGGTTGGGGGCCACAGGTCTAGAGCAAAGGGAGGCAGGTGGGCAGGCCTTGTTGGGGGTTCCCTAAACTCCATCAGATGTGGTGGTCCTGAGGTGGGTTCCCGGTATCTGTCCAAGCAGCCATCAGGGGCCAGTCCCTTTCACCAGGAACAGTGAGGCTTGCCCACCACTGAAGCACTGCCCCCCACCTCCTCAGGCTCACTCCTCCACCTAGTGCAGCCACCAAGGCCATTCCTGTTCTCTACCAGGACCTCAGGGCTTAGCACTGCCCACCCCAACTGCTGGTGGCTCTCTCCAGGTCTTTTGTTAAGGCATTTTTATCTTATTTTTTTCCTTAAAATTCCCATGACAGATTACATAAAAGCATTTTTTTTTTTTTTTTTTTTGAGACGGAGTCTCGCTCTGTCGCCCAGGCTGGACTGCAATGGCCGGATCTCAGCTCACTGCAAGCTGCGCCTCCCGGGTTTACGCCATTCTCCTGCCTCAGCCTCCCGAGTAGCTGGGACTACAGGCGCCCGCCACCTCGCCCGGCTAGTTTTTTTGTATTTTT